GTATTTGACAGGGCTGTTCAATTTGGCAAACATCATCAAAGCAACTCTAAACGAGCCTAAAGGCCATTTTTTTGTAGATTCGAATACTCTTAACCTAGGCGTTCTGTTCAGATGATGAAAAGGGCAGTGGTACCAACTGAGCAACCAACTGGCCTATAGCTCAGTTGCAACACCCCTCCTGACCTGTTGAAATACAGACCCCCCCCCCCCCAGTTCAAACTCCGTTGGAAGCAGACGAGTGAAATACTACAATTCTGAAAAACCTAGGGCTGGTCAGTTGAAATGATTTATTATTATTATTATTATTATTATTATTTTAACCTTCTTCTGTTCCTTAAATAATGATGATATCCTAACAACCTAGGGCTGGTCAGTTCAAATGATGATATCTGAAGGACGTAGCCTGTTTTCTAAAATAAGGAAAAAGACTTGGACTCGAAAAGCACCAACGGGCCTCACACAGTAGGTACACCCACGAACTGTTGGTATACAGACCCATGTTCGAATCCACATACAATCAAATGACCAGAACAAAATCATTCAAATAAAGAAAAGAAGGGGAAAAGGAAAAAGGAAGACAGGAAAGGAAGGGAAAAAGGGGGAAGAAAACAGGAAAAAAGAAAAGCGCAGTGGTACCTCCAACTGGCCTGGCTCAGTTCGTACACCCCTGAACTGAACTGAACTGAACTGTTGAAATGTAGACCTACCTGAGGGTTTTTTTTTTTTTTGGTTTTTTTTTTGACCTACCTGAGTTCGAACTCCGCTGGAAGCAGATGAGTAAAATTATATTACAATTCTAAATTACCTAGGGCTGGTCAGTTCAATGATGATGACGATATCTCAAGGCCGTCGCCACTTCTTTTTTTTTTTTTTTTTTTTTAAAGAAAGGGCAGTGGTGGTGGTTGAAAAGTCCAGGATCTCGTTGGGGTTCCGTTAACTTTTGTTGTGCAGCTCGTAGGTGTTTTTTTTTTGTTTTTTTTTTCCCCCCGAGGGGGATGGGCCGCGCCACTCTCCGCTGCAGTGCAATAGGAAGGCAACGCTGGAGGGGTCTAGTAGGCAAGCCTACCCCTATGACCCCTCCGTAGCCCTGAAAAATTAATTTAATATCGTGTGGCCCGATGGACCACAGCTCGTAGGTGTTGGGGCGGGGCTCTATGCTCCCGCGAGAGCAAGATAACCTGTCTGTCCCATCCTATTTGGTTGTAATCGTTGCCTTGGGCACTATCAAACCCAATGAGAGAAGACGCAGAGCTGCAGTTCAGATTGAAAAAAAAAGGGGAAAAAAAAAAAAAAAGACTAACACGGCCACAGGTCACCAGGTGTCCAGGCGCGGCAAGCAGCCAGCATCCTGCACCCACCTACGCACACAATCCCATATACACAATTCAGCAAGACACCGCAAAACCCACACGGATCTCAGATATTTCCTTCTTTTTGCTTCTTCTTTTCTCTTTTCCTCGTATGCACACATTTAAACAGCGCCAGCTCCCCGGCCTCGTTTTGACATTATAATGAATTGCAATTGTAAATTAAAAAATAATAATAATAATAAAAAACAGCGCCAGCTAAGATTTCCACAAAGCAGTGGCTGACGGGACCCTCTGCTTCCACGTCATGAACAGTCCATGCCTAAAAAACGAATACAGTTATTACATCCATCTGATATCAACAGGAATCGAACCCACGATCTGTTTGATAACAACTTACACGTGCGTAGTATCGTGTACCACTCAGTCACATGGGCTGAGTCACAACGAAGCTTCCATAGGCTTGCAATCAGAGGCACAAAAACAAACAAAAAAAAAAACAAATATCACCAGGAATCGAACCCACGATCTGTTTGCTAACAAGTTACACGTGCGTAGTATCGTGTACCACTCAGTCACATGGGCTGAGTCACAACGAACAGCTTCCATAGGCTGCGATCAGAAAGGCACAAAAACAAACAAACAAAAAATATATATCGTCAAATAGAACTGCCCGGTAAACCGTAGGCAGAGAGGGAGAAGAGGACAACAAACGAGGGGCTGTGACAAACTGTTTCGTCGGAGTTTCACCGACTCATCAGGAGGCTGAATATATATATATCACCAGGAATCGAACCCACGATGTGTTTGCTAACAACTTACACGTGAGTAGTATCGTGTACCACTCAGTCACATGGGCTGAGTCACAACGAACAGCTTCCATAGGCTTGCGATCAGAAAGGCACAAAAACAAACCAAAAAAA